AACGTGAGGTATTCGGGCATCGCAAGAGACGCGGTCTGGCAATGAAGATAAAGTTAATTCCCATTATTAGCACATCCGCCATGGATCATCATCAGCTGACAACATGCCGCAATTACCTCCCAGAAAGTGTCGCACGTGTGTTGCAACGGCCCTTGCGCTGCGATGTAAGCTAGCTGTGAAGTACCGGCTTCCATCTAGTGGAGTGAAACAGGAACACAAAGGACACACACGCACGCATACATGCACGCACGCACACACACATACCATGCACCACACACACATGCACACCCCCCCCCCCCCCCACACACACGCACACACACGCACATACACACAAATACATACACATACACACACACACACACACGAAGGAGGCAGAAATTATCTTCTTGAGTGGTCTCAATACCAGTGCATCACAGCAGAAGAGTGAAGAGTAATTGGAAAAGGCATTGCTTATCATGGATATTCGCAGACTAGCACATAAATATGCATACGGGCACACACCAACATGCATACGAACACACACATGCACGCATGCATGCACACACACACATGCACGCATGCATGCACACACACACACACACACACACACACACACGCACACACACACGCACACACAGTGTGCTAACTCAACTCACCGTGACGTGGCTAGCATTGATGTAATCATTATCGGCATCCAGACGTACTCGCGTAGCATTGTCTGCAAACACACACAGACAAATCACACAGCCATAAAGTACTTGCATAGGCACATGGCCACCCACCCCACTATAACATTTTGGTTTCTGGAGCCCACCCTATCACTTGAACTACTGCAAATCCCCTCGGATATAGCATGGAATGCAAGTGAAGAAGTAACGTACAGTCAGATCTTGCATAACCGCACACATCCGTTTCCCACAAAAATATCCGGATAGGCGCGGGAACCGGATAATCGAACACACATACTGTATGTATGCATGGTAAATGCTGTAAATCGGTAACGATTTTATTCCGGATGGCAAGGGATCCGGATAAAAGGGGACGGGGATAAGCGAGGTCTGACCGTATACACGTTTCTCGCATCTACCAATCATTCTTGCGACCCATCCCGAATTGGCCGGGACCGTCCCGATATCGAGGGTGGTATTAGGCACCCAAACGAGCATTAGTCGCATGCCTTACAGCCACATTTGTATACATTTTCATACCTAGGTATGTCATTGTCCCGACCTCAGGTTTGCAAACTCGGGTTGGCAGGCATGATCCAGGCAATTGAGCTCTCTGAGCTACCAGATGTCTAGCAGATGATTAGCACCCAACATGATGAAGGGTGGGCAATAGCCTTCAGAGTGCCAGTTCGGAGGTTGAAGTTTGATGATAAGCAATAGTAACTGAATACGCACGTGGGTGGCTTTCCTCCTGTTGCGTTTTTTTCTCCTTTTTTTCCTTTGTTTATTTTACAAAGACCACTTAAATGCCAAACACGAGCTGCAGCTAGGGGAAGCACGCACAACATGAACCGTGCCAGTGGTGGTGAGGTTTAAGGAGCTCCCCCGGCGAGTTTCCCAGCCCCAATCAATCACCGTTGCTGATGATGCTGCTACACCTGCAGCTGTTGTTTTTGCAAAAGCTGTTTTATCTGCCGATTCATTTCTCAGTACTGTAAGACAGGCAGATATAACGAGGAAGTAAACTTTGATCTAACGTCTTAACGGGTGTGCAAGTTTAAACTCGGATGTTGAGCCAAAGTGGTCATGGATCATGACTGTATATGATCTGGTTACGTTGGTGGACAGTTAGCCATAATTATCTCGTAAACCTTCGAGTGCAGCTAGGCTTTCTTTGACCTCCTTCGAAATACTTGCAAGGAGAATGTGTGCAGCATTATTGTAATAACGCAGATTAACGGGTGCACACTGCTTTGTGCTACCGCTCAAACTATGATACTCAAATTGCCTGCTCGGTTACTGCCTGCTCACACTTTGCTGCTAGCTACGGACCGATCACGTGCACCGCACATCACGGTAACCATGCCGACCAAACAACATGGTGCATGCAAACATGGAGCTTTATGCGGCGTGGCATTCAATGTGACATTCGACGTGAGTGGCTGGCAACGTGGCGCTCGACATGGCACACTAAAGTTGGCCGACTCCCATGTTTCGATCCGTTCTGTGTGGACCAGTCTTCAGATCTTTGTGTTTTCATGTTTGGGTTTTGACTCGTCCTCAGCGACATCCCCGTTGTCGCGAGCGATGGTTGCCTTTACTGCCGACGGAACTCGCGCCATGACAGTTCCGCGTCTCCACAGCGAACTCTCGTTGCTTTGTCTGGTTGTTTCGGGCAGGAAAACCGCCCTCGTCGATCGTCTGATTCAAACCCAAATTCATCACGCTGAATCCTGCGAACCTATCCCGAACGCAGCGAACTCTTGTTGCTTGGTCTGGATGTTTCTGGCAGGCAATCCGCCCTCGTCGATCGACTGATTCAGGTCCAAATTCATCACGCGGAATCCTGCGATCCTATCCCGCGCGGAACAGGCAGCAGAGACGCGAGCCGTTGGCACCATCTGCGTCACCAACGTAAGCTATAACTTCGAAGACCTTGCGCTCCACGATTGTTTCTCTGATTTCAGAGGCTTTACCTACACTTCTGGCGGCCATGCCTCTACTGACAACGTCATCCGCACCCATGCCCACACTTAGCCAGCACAGGGAGCAGCAACCCAAAGTCTTTCGCAACACATCTGGGGCCTAGAGTACGGGAGCGGATCATGACGGGTGAGTACATCGATTTGAGTGAGCTTCTTCCCACTATGTCCGGCACTGTGCAGCATGCTCGCACACAGAATGCGCTGAACTTAGAATCGGCAGACAGGGGCCCCTTTGCGGGCGGTAGAAGAAGGTGCTGCTTGTGGCAAGAGCAGGCATGTCCATGATCTGGCAACATGGATTGAAGCCTTCATGGTCTTGATACAGGTAGTGGTCAACGTTGCACCGCAAAGGACGGCAGAGCTATTGTCCTACCAAGGTGTTTTTGTCGAGGCCAATGGCCGATTCGTGCCGGAATTCTGGTTGGACCACGATAGGCAGTTCCAGACTAAGGCTGCTGCCAACCCGACACTGAGTTGGGACGTCATTGAGCTGAACTTGTAGCAGCTGGCGACAACACAGGTCGTGCCCGGTTCAGCCTGCCCGGCATGCGGATCAATCCCCAGCCTAAAACAATGCAGTGGCGTTCGGCAAAGTAAGTGAATTCCTGCATGAGAAAGGAAACAGGTCACACTCGCAGCAACTTATTCCTGCGCAGTGTATCGCTGGAATTGTGAATTTGTCCTTGGCCGTGTTGTTTGGACCTGAGGGGCCAGTCGTAGTGCGGCGATCGTGTAGTGTTATTAGCTTGCTGTGCACACTCCTCGTCGCCCTTGTCGAGCGTTCGGTGCCCACCATCCAGCTCAAGATTGTGCTTTCCTGGTTCACAAAGGCTGAAGCAGAACGCATACAGACGTTATTGTTGAACAAAACATCATGTTCACATTTTTATTTTATTCCTTTTTTTAGTCGTTGCATATTGATGTGGACCCACAGCAGACTGTTCATCTGGTTTGCGATATTTCTTTCCTCTTATCTGTTTGGAAGTCCTTTTCCATCAACATGGCAGCTTGTTTTGATTTCCTTTTTTCAATTCATTCTGCTGTACAGTCAACTTAGCCTATAACGACACTCGGCGGGGCATCAAAAAAGTGTCCTTATTCGCGAAGTGTCGTTATACCCGAAGTCTCATTATATGTATTACAGTTGGAAGGGACTTTGCTCTGGGCATGGAAATGCTGTCGTTATTCGCGAAGTTGACTGTACTTCCTGTTTTGTTTTGCGCCACTGCCCCTCACTCTGCGCTCAGTTCTCTGAGTCGAGGATGGCGTGACCCCAACTGGGGTAGCTGATTGATAGTAGTAGTAGTAGTAGTAGGTATTGACCGTACCACTTTTTGCCCCAGATACCCGGTGAATCAACCAAATACACTGATCCGGGATCGAAAATTCCAACATTTTCGGCTCAGCTACCACTCCCCCACGAGTAAATTGTACTTCAGATGGCTGACCGTACCACACTGAAATACCTACCGACGCCCCTGGTGCGTGCGTATGTACGTGCGTGTACGTGTGTGTGTGTGTGCGTGCATGTGTGCATGTTTGAATGTGTATGAAAGAAGCTTGAGTGCACACGACATGCTCATCAGTCACCATAGCAACCTGGGAGACCAAGCAGCAGCACCTTACATGGGCTTATGTCACGATAGCGATTGAGGCAGAAGTTCTCCGGTTTGAAGCCGTCGTCAATCTGCATGTTCTGGTTGCGATGATACAGTTGCTGGAAGACAAGAAAACACACCAACAACACGTATTACAGGGGTGTCAAAACCGGTGCGGCAGGTGCGGCCAAAGCCGCAGCAATGATTTTGAATTGTGATTTTCGAAGCCATAAAATATTACCTACTTGGGCCCAATTTTCCGACTTTTTCCCATGGGGTACGCCGACAGGGCTCCCACCTCTCCATAGCTGCACCAATTAGGAAAACCTTTCGACACCCCTGCCGTAAGATGGAAAAAAACACAGCTGCTGCAGCTCTCTTCCACCATCAGTAGGTGCAGAGGCTAGAGGGCAGAGTCAGTTCATCGTACAGGTTATCACATCAACCTGAAAGCATCTTGCACTATGACTGGGCCATTATCAGGTGGTGCCAGTGAAGGGAGGGGAAGTAGGGAGTGTGGGGGGGGGGGGGGGAGGGGGGAGGGGGGGGGGGTACTTTATAAAGTAGCTAAACAACAATGCATATGTAGGCTGGTTCTCTTCATGTTATTGTGACATATTTCATATTAGATCATTCTGCATAAGCGAAGCTGTGGACGCAGCATACTGCTGCTACACTTCCACGCGGGAATGCGTATAGTGATAATAAACAATTCTGTGACTTTGGGCGAAGGAATTTCTCAATTCTCTGAAATAGGAGCATTTTCGGTGTGCTAAGGGCGCATTCAGAGTGACGTGAGCATGCAGCAGAGCAGTACAGAGCAGAGTGATAACGTAAATACCATTCACACTGCAAGCCTCACATAGGTGAGATAGGTGAGATGCGGGAAATGCGTGGAGCTTTCAATCTAGGCAAGTTTCCTTCGGCTTCGACTCAACATTTTGATCCTTGCTCTGTGTTAATGAACCGAGCGAGGTATTTCTGGCTTAGAAGGGAGGGGGGGGGGGGGAGTGCCCCTGTGACCATAAACATTTTAGTTTCCTTCTAAACAACATGAGAGGATGCCTTCACTTACCCCAAACTGGGTCAGAGCATCCGACGACTCGAGACTCTGAATGCAAAACACACACACACACACACACACACACACACACACACACACACACACAGGGAAAGCACAGGCAGCGTTTCCAACGATTCAAGTGGACAACAAGACAACAAACTGACAGAGCAGTACAGAGTTGCAAGTACTACAGTCTTGGCCGAATGCCTACGTGCCAAAAGCAGCGCCAAGGCTCATGCGGACCAGCGGCGGATCCAGCGATCTCTACAAGGTTGCCAGTTTAGTCAAAACTGACTAGCTGGTACATGTATAATTATGCACATGCATATGGCTGCCAGTAGTACATTTACGAAATTTAGGGGGTTCCGCGGAACCCCTGGAACCCCTCCTGGATCCGCCCCTGCGCCCCTGTGGCCCTCGGATGGGTTTTGGACCGTGCATGCGGTAAGTGAAATGGAAGCTACTTTTGACATACTGGTCGGATATTTTGGCTATAATTGCACTTTTAAATCGACAAGTGAAGCAATGATGTTGTTCAAACAGAGGTCAACCATATTACGCATCACTTCAGTCTGGAAATCCACAGGCACACATTATAGTCCTTAGGGTAGAAAGAGCATCTATAAACCTGTGAACGATACCATTCAGCCATTCACTAGTGCAACAATCTCTCCTCCACTCCCCCATCCGAGGGTAGCACTTGTCGGCTGAGAGTGCAAGGAGGAGAGGAGAGATTGTTGCAGGGTTGAAACTGGAAAGAAAACAATTTGAAGAGATGATATTCCAATGACCACCACGCACCTCTTTCAGGACCTCAATCGATGCTCGCAGCTGATCCTGAGGGCCGGGACTGTTCGGCATGCGTGCCAGTGACTGTCTCTTCATCTTCTCTAGCAAGTCATTGGACGGGTCCGAAGTGATCAGTGACTGCGGCACGGGAACTACAGGACAACACCGGTCAAGAACACCATGTAAGCATGTTGGTAGATATGAATGTGTCTTAGGGGGGGGGGGGGGGGCATCCGGCATTATCGATAATTTCACGTAACGAAAAAGTTAAGCTAACTTACAACCCTCCTCCACCTACCCCCTGAACTTCAGATAATATTAACTTGACAGCAAGAATGGATCGATCTGTATGCTATCAATAGTTTTCAAAACGAAACTCTCCTCGACCCACCCACCAATGATTTTGTTTCGTTTTGTGCAAAAGATTGATAATTACGGACGCCCCCTTATAGTATTTATCTCCGTTGCACCTTGAATACGCTATATCACCAATCGCTCTACAGGCCTTGAATCATGGCGGTCAAGATGAGTCAACGGTCACATGCTTTATCTTGTTGCAATCAATGTTCAGTTCTTGCGGACATGTAACACAAACCAGCTGCGTGTGTGTCGTACCCCCCCCCCCCCCCCAACACACACACTCTCGTGCCCAGCTACCTCCCCCCCCCCCCCCCCCACACACACACACATGCATGCTAGCATACCAAGCACCCCCCCCCCCCATACACACAATCATGTACCCAACACCCACACCCCCCCCCCCCCCCAACACACACACTCTCGTACCCAACTACCTCCCCCCCCCCCCCCCCCACACACACACACATGTACAATCATGTTGTTAGTTTGACAGTATTGAACTAGTATTGGGTTATATAATACGACGTAAATACGTACAATCATGTACCCAACACCCAACACCCCCCAAACACATATACATACGTTGTAACTGGTCTTTCTCTCCTGCGCCCAGTCCCGTGCCATCTCCACACATACACAAGACGACGAGAAAATAACATTTTGAATGACTTTATCGACACGGCGACGAAACACAACTGGACATGACGAACTCAAGACGAAGACTGTTTTTCGCACCACAGCAACAGGTACATGCATCAACACCACGTACACATGACATACACAAAATACCATACTACAACATTACTCCCTCCCCGCAGTAGAGTCGTCCCCGATTCCAATAATAAAAATGAGCAAAAGAGGGAAAGATCACACCAATCACTCAATCATACCGAACCAGTCACAACTAGAAATAACGTATGTCAGCCTGCACTGCTGATTATAAAACTCCGTTCGTCCGCCCACCCAGAACACCAGCCACGATCACTGTCACACACGTGGGAAATGATAACCTCTATAAAAAAAACTCAAGTCACACAACACAACACCTCACATCACGCAAATATTCTAAATGTAAGAGCACAAATCAGAAGAAAAACAAAAAGAACAAAAATCCACTGGCCCTGTGGGGCCTCCAGTTATCCTCATAATTCAGTAGAAGAGGAAATCAAAAATTGAACAGAACACATGCGCTGTGCGGGCGCCTCTTTACCTTCAAGGAGAGCATAGTAGTAAAGAAGAAAACATGTGGAGAACAGAAAATACAAAACTCACACACTCATCACGTTCACAACAACACACGTGCCCTCTCGCCAACGAAACTCTTCACGTAGTCTGCCATCTGCCAGATCCGCAGCTTGACTTCCTCTTCTTCGTCACTGTTACTGTAAAATCGACTTATGGCGTCCTCAACTTCCTCGGTTTTCCTCCTCGGCACAGTTTTACGTCGTGTCCCGGGACAATGCTGTAGGCGACGAGACGAGAGACGAGGGAGACGATTGATGAAGTATGAGGACGAGACAAACATCTTGAAGACGGACGAAACTTGTGACGAAAGGACGACTGGAGATGACAACGGAAACTGGGAGCGAGGGCCACGCAGGACGAATCCATAATGTTGCGGGATATAACAATTTCTATCATCACTACCACCACCAATGTTGTAACTGTACTTTCTCTCCTGCTCCCAGCCCCGTGCCATCTCCACACTTATACAAGACGACGAGATAAATGCATTTCGGAAAGACTCTATTGACACGACGACGAAACACAACTGGACATGGCAAACTCAAGACGAAGACTGTGTTTCACACCACAGCAACACGCGAATGTACAAACACCACTTATATACGATACGATGTACACAAAATAACACACTACAACACTTGAACCCAACACCCGCACCCATCCCCCCCCCCCCCTCCCCTCCCCCCCCCCCCCCCCCACCCACCCAACACCACCACACACATGCATATTCACGTGCACACTCTCACCCTTAGGCGTGACAATGATTGTAAGCATGGGATTGGCTAGGGTACGCGTTTCCAGGATCAAACCAACGACCTACAAACAAATAAAAAAACATACACACGCACACACATGTATATACACACACACGCACGCACACACATGCACACATGCGTGCACGAGCATAAGAAAATCACACTGTTAGGGTGCTGTCTCCAATACTTTCCATCGTACACGCGGAGCAACTTAATTAAAGCATGACCGCTCTGGTGATTATTTCCGATATATTGACAAGGGATACCTCAAGTAGTAATATGGCCCGATATCTGAGACTTTCGACCTTCGGGGCTACGCGGTTTTTTTGAGAAAACACTAAAAACAAATTTGTTCGCAAAAAAATCGAATCTGTCGAAGCAAAGTGCAGAGACGACAATGGCGGAAGGAAATGGAAGGCGATTCTTGTGTCAGTTGGTTATTGGGCTCACGGAGCACAGCAGCCGCGATCCCATGGACGGTGATGCATCGTTCTTTGTGGATATCCTGTCAAGCGGCGACAGCGCTTCTAGTTCTGAGAGCGCATGTAAGTCGAATCGATCGCAAGTGACACGCGGTACTTACCTGTCGGGGGCGACGATGATGACTTGGCCTGGATGAGTATGATCAAGGCCAACCACAGTCTGCCTCAGCGATAGCTGCTACAGCTCCAGGCAAGGACAACCAAGTGAATTCCTGAGGGTACGCCGCTTGCAAGGTCGCTGGCCGCCCTTGCGCGGGTGGCAGAACTGTTTCCTGAGTTTCACGCCAGACCTGCTAAAACAGCACGAAATGATGCGAGTTTTCTTTGCGACGATGATCCTAAAATGTTTTGGATGGCAAGCTCGATACTCGAGCCAATAATGGCGAATCAGACCATCACGGAGCACGTGAGGCTGGGCAATCTCGAGTACTAGTAACATTCTGTTACTTTTGAGTTGGTGATGTGAAACGCTTGTCAGGCTGTGTTACTGATGTTTGGAAATGGTCAGTCTCCACAAAGTGTGACAAAGCGAATCTGGACGCATTTGCTCTGTTTGACTCCTTCACAATAAGTATGTGAATGCTGTTACATGTATCATGGTGTTCCGTCAAAATCTATTGCAGACTATCCTGTCAAGCATGTCCATCACCAGGAGAACAGATAAATCACCTCTCCTTCTAATGCTGCTATTGCTGCTGTTGAAACTACACAACCTCAATAAAGTCACGGAATGCTGGAAATGAAGTACCTGAACAGTCAAAACACTTTACTATATTAGTTGGCTATTGATATCACACGGAAACAATTTTTGGTGGCTCCAAACACACTGATCTTTCAAAATTGTAAAAAAAAGAACAATTCATTAACATGACTCCTGACTGTAAAATGGATTTCTACATGGTCAATATTGGTCTGATGGCCGTGAAACGAAGTGACAATACTCAACAAAGGCTAGACATCAATTTGCAACAAAAAAATCAATTTCACCAAAACAGCCCCGAAGGTCGATTTTCTCAGATATTGGGCCATATAAGTATGCATTGACACATGAAAAATGATGTACCATCTTTTCCGGAGAATAAGCTGCACTAGAGTGTAAGCCATACCCCTATTTTTTTTGCCACGAAATACAGACATCTATCATATTTATTTATTTTATCACCGCTTACTTGATCATCGGAGTAAAAGGCGCACCCGCTTTTGTTGGGTGAATTCTGCGTGTTCAAAGTGCAGCTTATACTACGGAAAATACGGTAGACATAGTAGAAGTTGTATATGGGTATTGCGCCCCTCGGCTTTCGTCTTGTTGAGCACTCTTGGTAGGTTGCTCTAGTGCTGCTGCATCACGCATTGCGCGCTACTTTTTGTAGTTTGAGCACTCTGGCGCTAGAGCGACGAGCTCTCTTATAGGCTGTGGTACCTCCTTTGCACATTGGCTGGTAGCTCGGCCTATTTAGCTCGAAGCTGTACTGATGAGGCCTCTATGGCCGAAACAGCTTGCTGTCTACAGCATTGGGTAGAAATTGTATATAATGATACGCCTCTACAACAATAGTGACAGCCATTAGCTTAGTTGCTTCACTTGTTCACAGCCTAAGGAAAAATGGCACAATGCACTTAATGACCTTTTCATGGGCGAGGCCTTCCACTTCTGTTCCATTGATCTCTTCCACCAAATCACCTTCCTGAAGACGAGGCTTGCTTAGGTCAGCCTAAGCACAAACACCATGGAAAAGAGAGAGAGAGAGAGAGAGAGAGAGAGAGAGAGAGAGAGAGAGAGAGAGAGAGAGAGAGAGAGAGAGAGAGAAAGGGAGGGAGGGAGGGAGGGATGACAAGAAAGATGATAGACATCAGCAGGTACAACAGGTGCTGCAATAGAGTGGTTAGACGCCCTTTCGTGTGAACTAGAGAAAAAGAGAGACAGAGACACAACTGAAAGCATTCAAGCACTCGTAATCCAGTCAACACAGAGGTCAGGTAATATGTGTGCTTGCTAGGCAGGTGAGGAGGCTTTTGGAAAAATCAAAAATATTGTTTGGAACGAATACTATAAATGGACGATCTCTAACAGGGCACTTCCAGAACTTCGCTCTTTTCATTTTTTTAGCTTTGACTAGAACGTCCAAGACTCACTGGCATTCCGGCGGTGATCTTCGAGATCTTCACCGGCTCTTTCTGGTCGCTGCCTCCACGCACGTTGAAGCCAAACCTGCCCTGATCCGGCATCATGGTCACCCGTAGCATGCCATTCGGCAGCACACTGCCAGTAGGCTAAACGACGGGAGAGTCAGGGAACAGAAAGCACAGCAAGAAACAGATAGTCATCAGGCGCGTGCCCTGTATCAGTGTATGGGTGCCCGGAACCCCCCTTTTTCGCTCAAAATGCAGGATTTTGCTTCATTTTTTGAAAATTTTCCCGGGGGGGGGGCGGAACCCCCTTGAAGGGCACCGGCGCACGCGCCTGGACTCATCAGTTTGAGAGAATGAAAGGGGAGAAGTCTGAAGAAGAAATCGACTGTCACCACCAGGACTTGAACTACTATAAGGCGACAACTTTTCGGCCCATTCAAATTTCGGCCTCCCGGGGCTAAAACACATTTCGGCTGCAACACATTTTCGGTCTGTACTGCTGCCACCTGCATACACGGTCGCACTGAACCTTGCAAAACAAAATTTCGGCTGCAACAAATTTTCGGCCAAACATGATCAGGCCGAAAAGACTTATATAGATCAGAAATGTGATAGCCGTTGTTTTACGCCTAAGATGAAGTGGATACGGTGACAATTGATCAAGCAAGAAACAGATAGTCACCAGTTTGAGAGAACAAAACAAACAAAAGTATTGTTTCAGACACATATCTCAGGGGGCCCCGATTTGGCGTATGGACTATAGGAACCTTTGTTCTAGGCTTGCGACGCTCTATCACTGAGTTAGGGTGTGGTCGCCACAGAATGATGTAATGATGTTATGGGAAGGCATGGATTCATGCCTATTCTGGACAACTGATGATCCCTGTTGATCCCCCACCCCACATCTCCCTTGGTGATAACCCCTATGAAATTGAGTCGTGCGGAGTAGCCAAGGGCCGTTGGTGTGTGTGCCGTGTTGGAGGGTGCAGCAACTGAAGCTACACGGCCATAACTACTGTCCTACATGAGTCGGCATGGTTTTTTTCTGGTTCACTCTGAGCATGGTCATGGCTCACACTCAAAAATGTGGTGAACCTGAAATGACATCCGGAGCGCAGAGACGGTGTTTGCTAGGTAGGACGGAAGGTATGTTTCTCCACATTAACTTGGCGCAGGACTGTAACATTCACAGAGTATGATTGTCAGTGTGCTGTGTGTAAATATAGAGATAACACTGTGGTAAATCGACTGCTTTTATTGTTACAATAGTTCTGACGATATTAGTTATTTGATTGTATTCTTACTTTGTAGCTGCGTCCAGGCTCGTTGGAATTCTCATCACGGACTCCATTCTAGTTTCGAAGAGATATACATTCTTGTCCAATTGTTCTCAAACAAATTCCTCGTCTTGTGCATTTGTTCTCGAACAAATTCTTCGTAGTATTTGCAGTACGTAGTCTCGCGCTCTTTGATTTGTTTGACGCGCGCGTGACTTTCCTTTCTTTTCTTTTGTCATGTATGACGTATCGGTATGACGTGAGTGTGTACGCACTCTGTTTATGACCACGTGACTGCATGCTCACGTGGAACTACAGTCAGTAGGCTAGTGCATTTTAGCGACTGCAGCGATCCGATCTTTTTGCTGCAGCGCTGTTTCTTCTTCTTCACTTGTGTCTTTTCTTTGGTCGCTGCACTAGTTTGTGATTACCATGATTACGCGTCAATGGACGACATGGTCGCCATTTTGTGCATGTCCTTTTTCTTGATGGATCTTGGATCTCGTGGAAAAAGGAGGGTTTTCTTTTCTCCCAACTTTACCACTATTTCAATATTTCAACTCTCTTGATTCCTTGCCAAGTTGATAGTTGTGGCTCAGTGCATGTGCGAGTGTGCTGGAGTGCTAGCTGGAAGAGATAGAGAGCATAGTGGTGGAGTAACATGTGTGATAAGCAACATGCCGGGACACTGAACACGGGATAAGCAACATGCAACTGTATGTCCCATCATACACATCGTAACCCGTTCCCTTACATAGTTCTCCGTGATGTCCTGTCCTTCGGCCTGATAGTACTGCTCGTCATATACCTCAGTGGGCTGTAGCAACACACGCAAATACACACGTACACACACACACACACACACACACGTACTTGTACTTGTTGCTCACTGCCAGAACTGGTCACGTGGGTCTCCCCGGGAGAGGGGAGCGAGACTCAAAAGGAATCTTGGAAAGATGACTCAATTGGCTATTGAACCGCCCAATGGCCGACACCCCCTGAAATTCCCAAAACTCTGAGTGGACTTGAAAATGATCCCACTTTTGGGCTCACCACACCTCAGTAAGTGGGCGAGGACAAGGTGCAGAAAAAGGATTGGCGGCATCAGGGTATCCGTCCTGGGATCCAACTGCAGTTACCCCTGCCCCCAGTGAAGGTAATACTTGCTACTAGTGTGGGTGGCTAAATCAGAGGGGATTTGGTATAAGCGTCACTAGCACCATTGATTACACAAGAGTTAATCTAGCCATAAGCAGTCCATGGTTAACAGGTATGTATACTTCAAATAGAAAGTATATGAACCCTGAAACCAACAAAGGTGGCAGATAAAACTGTTAGCTGCTCCCGGCTAATGATGCCCCCTCACACCGGAACACAAGGGTATTATGATTGGATAATTAGAAGTATTCGATAAGAGTGTAAACAGAAGGAGAACAGGACAACGACAACTCAAGACTAGACTAGACTACAACAGAACTGGAGCATGCGCTCTTCTATGTGAGTGCTCATTGCCAAGGGGAACGAGCGGGAAATACAAATAGTGAGTATTCAGGTCGTAGCATACATACACCTATTACACTGTGCCCCCCTAGCTAAAATTCACGTCCACGGGAATGAACGAAATACCTAGGAAAACAACAAAAGAAAACAAACCAAATAATAAACTCAGTCCAGGACATAGTCAGCTAGTCGAGCAGGTGCAGTGCGGACACGGCCAGAACGACGAGAAACAGGAGAAGAAGTACGGACCGGATCAGACGACGGCGGCTGTAGCGGCGGAACGCAGCGCGGCAAATCATCATCAGGCAGCGGGTCAGGACTAGAAGCAGTAACGGCAGGCGGTTGACAGTCGAGAGGACGGGAAACAGCTTCAGGCGGTCGAACAAACTTGCCAGTGACAGCATCATATCTGGTGAAACACTCAGACAGAGCAGGATCAGCACACGGAGCAAGAAGACTCTGAGGCTTGAAACAATCAGGCGACGACGGTCCAGCGGCAGAGGAACCAGGAGGACGAACAAAAGCGGCCGGAGGAAGAATCTCGGCAGCCGGAGGAACATCAGCAACAAGTGGCATTTCATCAGCAGCTGACAGCGGAACATCACGGGCAAGAGGCGGCGGACTCGGCGGAGGAGACGGCACATCGGTCACCACGCGGGACATAGCATCGGCATTCAGATGTTGGCGACCTGGACGGTGGACGACTCGGAATTCATATTCGGATAAACAGTCAAGCCAACGTGCTTTCCGTCCGCGGGGTTCCTTCAGGTTCCGGAGTGCAGTCAACGCAGTATTGTCCGTCCTGGCAACAAATGGTCGTGCCAACAAGTAGTGCCTGAAATACTCCGCAAAATAGACCAAAGCAAGGGCCTCACGATCGCTAGCATCGTAGTTGCGCTCAGCTTTCGTCAGTACACGGCTGCCGTACCCGATTGGTCGCTCAGTTCCATCCTGGATCTGGCTGAGGACCGCACCAATCGACACATTGCTCGCATCGGTGTCCAGAATGAATGCACCTGCTGAATCTTCAAACTGGGGGTACGCCATCACCGGCGCACTGGCAAGTGAACGCTTCAGAGCCTGGAACGCCGCTTCGCAAGCTTTCGACCACGCAAAGCGAGCATTCTTGCCTGTCAGAGCAGTCAGCGGAGCAGCACGCTGGGCGAACCCACGGATGAAGCGGCGATAATATCCAGCGAAGCCAAGGAACTCGCGGACAGCTGTGACAGATTTCGGAGTCTTCCAGTTCCTGACCGCGACGAGTTTGGCTTCATCCGGGGAGATGCCCTCCCCTGACACGCGGTGTCCTAAGAAAGTGACCTCCTCCTGGAAGAAGGAGCATTTCTTCAGATTGAACCGCAGTCCAGCGGACCGAACGCGCGCGAACACGGGCAGCAGAATCTGGAGTTGGCCAGACAGCGTTTCGCTGGCATTCAGGACATCATCAAAGAACACACGGCAGAATGGCTGGACCGGTGTGTTACATAAGCCACTCAGGACTGCTTCCATTACGCGCTGAAATGTCGCTGGGCCATTCCTGCAGCCCATCGGCAGAACATTAAACTCAAACAAGCCCAGTGGCGTGGTAAATGCCGTCTTAGCCTTGTCGCTTCCTTCCATTGCTATTTGCCAGTACCCTGACGCTAAGTCAAGGGACGTGAAATACCGACAGCCAGACAGGGAATCAAGCATGTCATCCGCCCGGGGAATCGGGTAGGCGTCAGGTTCGGTGACAGAGTTCAACTTCCTGTAGTCGATACAGAGTCGAAGAGAGCCATCCTTCTTTGGCACCAATACTATGGGTGATGCCCACGGACTAATCGATTCTTGTATTATGCCTTGCTTTAACAGCGTATTCAGTAGATCTTGCAGAGCCTTCCGGCGGTGATATGGAATCCGCCTGGTAGGTTGTTTTATAGGGTTATTTTGTCCTGTGTTAATTTTATGAGGGAATATGTCACAGTAGCCATAGTCATCATCATGCAAGATAAATAAATCGTGGTTATCATGAAGTAGTTCAGTGAGCGTGCGAGACTGTTCTGTGGAGAGATGATTTTGTGCGTTGATATATTCATCGATGACTTTCTTGCGTTGCTCAGTTAGCGGGATCGGGTCGGGTGAAACTGAGGAAACCATAGCTTCAGTGTCGTCAATATGTTCACAATCTGTAGGAATTTGATGAAGTTCGGCAACATTGGTATTTTTATGAATGAGTATAGGATGATTTGCATGATTTTCAACAGCCACAATCACACGTGTTTGGTTAGGGCCAACAGTTACAAGACTAGGAGTCACTGCCACATCTGGATGCTTCGCCATAAAGGACTCCAATGGATCTGCCACGCAATCCATCGCAACCGTGCACACATCAACAGCTGCACAAGGCACCAAGACAACATGTCCTGCAGGTACCGACAACTCCATCTCAAACACCACACGAGATGAGTATACCACAGGGTCGGCCACACTTTCGGGCGCACACGCCGGGACAACGCCAGGTTGAGCCATGGGTTCAACAACCCGTGCAGACAATGAATCGTCAAGGGCAACACGAGAAGAATACGACGAAACAGGTACATCGTCGGAGCATGCATCAGAATGAGGAGTATGAGTATTACATGAGGGGGAAGTATTACGCGGAACAATACGATCATAGGGCGTACGTGACGGAGGACACCCAGAACCAGAAACATGCAACGGAACAGACACATCGCCAAACATCACAACACCACGAGCAATGTCTAATACACCACCATGCTGCAACAAAAAATCGGAACCAAGAATCATGTCACAGTGAATACCAGGAGAGACAACAACCGTGTGCTGGAAAGACAGATTTCCTAGCGACATACACAGATCCATGGATCCAACGACAGGAAGTTGTGCGCCATTGACTGCACACAACCGCGGAGCAGACTCTAGAGGAGGTCGCTCTGTCAAATTAGGCAACAATTTAGAATGCACTAACGACACACTTGAACCAGAATCAACCAGAGCAACAACAGGAGACGAAGACGAAGACGAAAGACAAACATCAACGTGCACAATAATGGGTGAGATCGCACCACATACCTCCTCGAGGGGCTCCACTCGGACGACTGACGGCGGCCCCGTGTCACCAGTCCAACCTAGTTTTTTGCGTGCGGGCAAGATGCAATGAAGTGGCCCTCTTCACCACATCCATGGCACACTCCACGGACAGGCCTCGCAAAACTCTGGCCACGACCACGACTAGGCGCACCAGCACCAGCACCACGAGCAACAAAACGTACATGGTCTTGCTGGGGTCGGGTGGGGCGATACAGACTCACGCTCTCCATTTTCGCCTCCAAAGCAGAGAGACGCGAATCAAATCTCGACAAAAGCGAAGCCAACTGGTCTCGCTCAGATTCCGACTTCAGTGGACCGACTGCTGTGTAGGGGTCACGACCATGAGCAGTGCGACGGGGCTTCACTTCCGGAGCAGCAGCAAATACGGGCTGTGCATACTGGTAAGGTACGGTGCGGGCCTGCTCGCGAGCATAAATAGCACCTACCTCGATGGCCTTTTGGACCGCCGCATCCAAATCAGTGGGCCGAGGTGACGCCAACGCCAAGCGCAAATCCTTCGATGCCTGGCCATCAATAAAAAGTTGCAAAAGCATTGAATCAAGCAGTGCACCTTGTTGT